GCGAAAATCGCGCGATTTTTGGCCGGTAGCGGCGAAAATCGCGATTTTTGGCCGGTAGCGGCGAAAATCGCATGGTTTTTGGCCGGTAGCGGCGAAAAATAGCGGCGCTATTTTTGGCCGGTAGCGGCGAAAATCGCGATTTTTGCCCGCCAGCTGCGAAAATCGCATGGTTTTTGGCCGGTAGCGGCGAAAATCGCGCGATTTTTGGCCGGTAGCGGCGAAAATCGCGCTATTTTTGGCCGGTAGCGGCGAAAATCGCGATTTTTGCCCGCCAGCTGCGAAAATCGCATGGTTTTTGGCCGGTAGCGGCGAAAAAGCGGTTTTTGGCCGGTAGCGGCGAAAATCGCGCTATTTTTGGCCGGTAGCGGCGAAAATCGCGATTTTTGCCCGCCAGCGAAAATCGCGAAAATAGCGCGGTTTTTCGGCCGTTAGCGGCAAAAAAAATAGCGGCGCGATTTTTGCCCGCCAGCTGCGAAAATAGCGGCGAAAATCGCGCTATTTTTGGCCGGTAGCGGCGAAAAATCGCGATTTTTGCCCGCCAGCTGCGAAAATCGCATGGTTTTTGGCCGGTAGCGGCGAAAATCGCGCGGTTTTTGGCCGGTAGCGGCGAAAATCGCGCTATTTTTGGCCGGTAGCGGCGAAAATCGCGATTTTTTCCCCCCCAGCTGCGAAAATCGCATGGTTTTTGGCCGGTAGCGGCGAAAATCGCGCGGTTTTTGGCCGGTAGCGGCGAAAATCGCGCTATTTTTGGCCGGTAGCGGCGAAAATCGCGATTTTTGCCCGCCAGCTGCGAAAATCGCATGGTTTTTGCGCGCAAAAATAGCAAAAATCGGTTTTTGGCCGGTAGCGGCAAAAATCGCGCGATGGTTTTTTTTGGCCGGTAGCGGCAAAAATCGCGCTATTTTTGGCCGGTAGCGGCGAAAATCGCGATTTTTGCCCGCCAGCTGCGAAAATCGCATGGTTTTTGGCCGGTAGCGGCGAAAATCGCGCGGTTTTTGGCCGGTAGCGGCGAAAATCGCGCTATTTTTGGCCGGTAGCGGCGAAAATCGCGATTTTTGCCCGCCAGCTGCGAAAATCGCATGGTTTTTTTAGCGCGAAAATCGCGCGGTTTTTGGCCGTTAGCGGCAAAAATCGCGCGATTTTTGGCCGCTAGCGGCGAAAATCGCGATTTTTGGCCGGTAGCGGCGAAAA